ACCTGCTGTCACCTGAGTTTTTGATCTTAGCCATTCTGACTGGTGTGAGGTGGAATCTCAGGGTTGTTTTGACTTGCATTTCCCTGATGACTAAGGATATTGAACATTTCTTTAGGTGCTTCTTGGCCATTCGAGTTTCCTCAGTTGAGAATTCTTTGTTTAGCTCTGAATCTCATTTTTAATAGGGTTATTTGATTCTCTGGAGTCTAATTTCTTGAGTTCTTTGTGTATATTGGATATTAGATTTCTATCAGATGTAGGATTGGTAAAGATCTTTTCTCAATCTGTTGGTTGCTGTTTTGTCCAATTGATAGTGTCCTTTGCCTTACAGAAGCTTTGCAATTTTAAGAGGTCTCATTTATCAATTCCTGATCTTACAGCATAAGCCATTGGTGTTCTGTTTAGGAACTTTACCCATGTGCACAAGTATTCAAGGCTCTTCCTCACTTTCTTTTCTATTAGTTTCAGTGTATCTGGTTTTATGTGGAGGTCCTTGATCCACTTGGACTTGAGCTTTGTACAAGGAGATAAGAATGGATCAATTTGCAGTCTTCTACATGCTGACCTCCAGTTGAACCAGAACCATTTGTTGAAAATGCTGTCTTTTTTCCACTGGATGGTTTTAGCTCCTTTGTCAAAGATCAAGTGACCGTGGGTGTGTGGGCTCACATCTGGGTCTCCAATTCTATCCCATTGAGCTTCCTGCCTGTCTCTGTACCAATACCATGCAGTTTTTATCACTATTGCTCTGTAGTACAGCTTGAAGTCAGGGATGGTGATTCCTCCAGATGTTGTTTATTGTTGAGAATAGTTTTCGATATCTTGGGTTTTTGTTATTCCAAATGAATTTGCAAATTGCTCTATCTCTATGAAGAATTGAGTTGGAATTTTGATGGAGATTGCATTGATTCTGTAGATTGCTTTTGGCAAGATGGCCATTTCTACTATAGTAATCCTGTCAATCGAGGAGCACGGGAGATCTTTCCATCTTCTGAGATCTTCTTTGATTTCTTTCTTCAGAGACTTGAAGTTCTTGTCATACAGATCTTTCACTTGCTTAGATTCACACTAAGGTATTTTACATTATTTGTGACTATTGTGATGGGTTTGTTTCCCTAATTTCTTTCTCAGCCTGTTTATCCTTTGAGTAGAGGAAGGCTACTGATTTGAGTTGATTTTATATCCAGCCACTTTGCTGAAGTTTAGGAGTTCTCTGGTGGAAGTTTTGGAGTCACTTAAGTATGCTATCATTTCATCTGCAAAAAAATGATATTTTGATTTCTTCCTTTCCAATTTGTATGCCTTTGATCTCCTTTTGTTGTCTAATTGCTCTGCCTAGGACTTCAAGAACTATATTGAGTAGATACGAAGAGAGTGGGCAGGCTTGTATAGTCCCTGATTTTAGTGGGATTGCTTCAAGTTTCTCTCCACTTAGTTTGATGTTGGCTAACTGGTTTGCTGTATATTGCTTTTACTATGTTTAGGTATGGACCTTGAATTCCTGATCTTTATAAGACTTTTATCATGAAGGGGTGTTGAATTTTGTCAAATGCTTTCTCACCATCTAATGAGATGACCATGTGTTTTTTTTTTCCTTTTAAGTTTGTTTATATAGTGGATTACATTGATGGATTTCCATATATTGAATTCATGGGATGAAGCCTACTTGATCATGATGGATGATTGTCTTGATGTATTCTTGTATTTGGCTTGCAAGAATTTTATTGAGTATTTTTGCACTGATATTCATAAGGGAGATTGGTCTGAAGTTCCCTTTCTTTGTTGGGTCTTTGTGTGGTTTAGGTATGAGCGTAATTGTGGCTTTATAGAATGAATTGGGTAGTGTTTCTTCTGTTCCTATTTTGTGGAAGTTTATAGAGAATTGGTATTAGGTCTTCCTTGAAGGTCTGATAGAATTCAGCACTAAAACCATCTGGCCCTGGGCTTTTTTTTTTTTTTTTTGGGGGGGGGAATACTTTTAATGACTGCTTCTATTTCTTCAGGGGTTATGGACTGTTTAGATGGTTTATCTGATCCTGATTTCACTTTGGTAGCTTGTATCTGTCTAGAAAATTGTTGATTTCATCCAGATTTTCCAGTTGAGTATACACTTTTGTAGTAGGATCTGATTTTTTTTTTAATTTCCTCAGTTTCTGTTATGTCTCCCTTTTCGGTTCTGATTTTATTAATTTGGATACTGTCTCTGTGCCCTCTGGTTAGTCTGGCTAAGAGTTTATCTATCTTGTTGATTTTCTCAAAGAACCAGCTCCTGGTTTTGCTGATTCTTTGTATAGTACTTTTTGTTTCTACTTGGTTGATTTCAGCCCTGAGTTTACTTCCTGCCTTCTACTCTTCTTGGGTGTATTTGCTTCTTTTTGTTCTAGAGTTTTCAGGTGTGCTGTCAAGCTGCTAGTGTATGTTCTCTACAGTTTCTTTTTGTAGGCACTCAGAGCTATGAGTTTTCCTCTTAGCACTGCTTTGTGTCCCATAAATTTTGGTATGATGTGCCTTCATTTTCATTAAATTCAAATTCTTTTTTTCTTTACTTCTTCCTTGACCAAGTTATCATTGAGTAAAGCGTTGTTCAGTTTCCACATGTATGTGAGCTTTCCATTGTTTCTGTTATTGAAGACCAGCCTTAGTCCATGGTGATCTGTTAGGATGCATGGGATTATTTCAATCTTTTTGTATCTGTAGAGGCCTGTTTTGTGACCAATTATATGGTCTATTTTGGAGAAGGTGCCATGAGGTGCTGAGAAAAAGGTATATTCTTTTGTTTTAGGATGAAATGTCCTATGGGTATCTGTTAAATCTATTTGGTTCATAACTTCTATTAGTTTCACTGTGTCTGTTTAGTTTCTGTTTCCATGATCTGTCCATTGCTAAGAGTAGGGTGAAGTCTCCCGCTATTATTGTTGTGAGGTGCAATGTGTGCTTTGAGCTTTAGTAAAGTTTCTTTTATGAATGTGGGTGCCCTTGCATTTGGAACAGAGAGTTCATCTTGGTAGATTTTTCCTTTGAGTATGAAGTGTCTTTCCTTATGTTTTTTGATAACTTTTGGTTGAAAGTCTATTTGAGCAAGAGGTCTTTAAAGGATGTTTTGTAACAGAAGCTAAGATAAGCAGTTAATCTGGTGAACAGTGCAGAAGCAGGCATTTTAACAGAAGCTAAATTAGTTGGGGTATCTTGATCTATGGTTCCTAGAATAGAGTTATTTTCCACAGACTCTCCATCAAGATCAAAATCCAGCTAAGCCTACAAAATAGCCTCAGCAACAGTATAAGATGGAGGAACCTCTGTACTGTCTTGCCCTGTTACGAGTACTTTTCTATTTGTTTCCATTTCCAGCACCACATGAATTGGATGTGGCACAACTTAATCCTTTTTTTTCTTTTTTTTGGCACAACTTAATCCTATAATCCTAGATAAGACAGGTAGAAGCAGAATCAAGTGTATTATCAGATAAATAGTGTGAGGACAATCTGAGCAACTGTTGCCTTCATCAACCTATGTAGATCTGTCTGAGACCTGGGATTTGAGGACTTTAAAGAAAGAGGACTACAATCTAATGCTGCAGACAACTTTACTTCAGTTTCAGTGCATTTTATACACAAATGTAACAAAGAAGCAATGATCCAAAGACAGTAAAGATCAAAAAAATGTAAATAAACACCAGTAAGCACATACTAAATATTAACAGAGCAGCCCTTTCCCAGAACAGACTTTTCTCAAGATAGAGCAATTCTAACACAATTGCCTAGTGAGTACTATAAATTATATCTGGAAAAGCAGAAGGCCATATCCAGACTCAGGGCACACTGAGGACAGCACTCCTTTCACCAAATTGGGTTCTACAGCTATCTTCCAACATCCAAAAAGAAACATGTCTTATAAGTTGATTGCAAATTTTTGACATAGGAGGCACAAAATCACATTTATAAACAATCAAGGGAACAAAATTTACTTGAGGTAAAAGGCTCTCTTCTCTGCCTGTTTTACTGGAGACTCTCTCACAGTTCCCCAAGGCACTGTTCATCATGCACCATGACCATGTTCTAAGAAAAAAAAAAAAAAAAGAGCCCAGTGTAATGGCAAACTCCTCCAATCCCAGTGCTCTTAAGCTTGTGATTGCTATGAGTTCAAAGCCAGCCTGAACTCCATCCTGAGGCCAGCCAATAATGAGTGACATGGCTACATAGGGACTCAAAAAAATAAAAAATAAAAAATAAAAAAAACAAGCAAAGACCCACAAACCTTTCCCAGGATTGGAGAAACTCAGTGACTCAGTACCACTTCTCCATTGCTTCCCGGGTTACCTGTAGAGAGGAAATATTTCAGCACAGCTCTCCCTATCCTCCCCACTGTATGAGACTACAATTGGAAGATACAACAATGCTCTTGACTCTTGACTACTCACTGCTTTCAAGCCATTGGACAACAGCTTTACTAGCTCACTGCTAACCAGGCTCAATGCCACTGTGGAAGGCAAAGTGAGCTACCTTGCCATTGTTCCATCTCTGACCAGGTCACCAACTCCCCTGGCCAATCTCTACTCTGTTCTATAGGTCCTTCCACAAGAAAGAACAGTAACAACAAACACAGGTGATATGGTGCTGTGATCTTTAATCCATTAAATGTACAACCCAAAAGTGAAACACAAACAGCATCATTGATTCTCGTTGTGCTTTTTTAAAAATTATAGTTTTAAAGCCATTCAAAGGCAATGACATAGCAGAAAGTATAGCAAACTATTTTTAAAATAAAATTGAGAACAACTGTGTATGTTCAAGATTTAACTCTTGTAAGGCTTACATTCATAACCACTTTGATCACCTGAACTGTAAAGTATGGGCATTAATGTGACCTTCCCTTTGTCAGAACATTAAACTTCAGCTCTGGCATATGAAATTCTTTCCCATAAGAAAACTTTCTAGTTCCTGCTGTGGGGTACATAGGTGACGACTTTCATAGTTATGATCCCATCTTTTTTGTTCATTAGGTATTAATGTGTTAGGGTTTTCTGTGTGTATAAGATTTTGGGATTCACAGAGACAAGTTGATCTCTGTGAAATTAAGGCCAGCCTGGTCTACATAGTGAGTTCCAGAACAGACAGGGTTACACACTGAAACCCTTTCTCAAAACAAAACAACAAAAGATTTAGGAATTCAAGTCACAGTGCCCAATCGGGTTTTTTCAGAGTGTGAGAGAGGACACTATCAAAATTTACCAAAAAAAAAAAAAAAGTCCCAATTACCTGTTAGTGTGTGAGGGCAAGTGTTAAGAGAAGGCACTATGACAGCTTTAAAACCCTTGGACAACCATCTGAATTAGGATACCCTGCTATTTCTAAACACAGTAAACTCTGTGGGGAGCAGACTTGGCAGCAGACCTCAGGTACAGCTGCTGGAAATGCTGAAGTGCACTTCCTGTCTGGGTACTCCCATCCATAGATCAGTTCAATCTCGGTCATTCATCCCCACAAACACCCACCAACCCATCACCCACTGATGTTGATAAATGATGACCCCAGAGCTACAGCACAAAGCCATCTCAGCAATCCCTAGCTACAAAGCAGAGTCTCATTTTCTTTTAATACATCCTATAGATTAGTCTAAAGCATGAAAAGGTAGATGAGAACCAGTGTCCACGATGAAGCTACAGTACAACCCTGATGAAAACAACTGTAGCCACTACAACAAACCATATGAGACAGTAACACTTTGCACTTTGCTAAGTAAGGCTTGCTTATGGCCTCACTCCTGACAAAAACCACATTGGCTCCACTTGCTAGGTAGCAAAATACAGAGATGTTGGCCACCTGACTTAAAAAACTCAAATTATACTCAATTACATTGCAAAAAACCTACACAAACAAAATGGGTCTTTTTGATACTTCCATGGCACTTTTTGAGGGATGGAATTTTTTTTCCTTTTGTTTGGGCTCATATTAACCTACTGAATTTTTTTCTCATTCGCATATCCCAGCCACTGTGGGATACCAACCACTGTTTGTGTACTAAAGAAACTACAAGGAAAATACAGTGCTTGTCTGTCTTAATGAGAGGAAGTAAATCAAGCATAACCATTTAGAGGTCTGATCCAGTATACAGCAGGTATCAAACATAAACCTCTGGCTGGGGCTGCATAGAAAAAGAAAAAGAGAAGGGGGTGGAGGTGGGGGGAGAAGGACAGAAATGTCACAAGCATCTATGAGACAGATTTTTGGTATTCTTAAAAGGGATACTCAAAATTTATCAGCAAGTAATAAACCATGAGAGACTTCTCAGTGAAAGAAAGTTGTGATTTTATCCATTTGATGATAAGATGCACACTAAAGTGTTAAACCTGGTGGATAGAGAGAATATCTGGCATACACACAGCCCCCAAAACAAAAACAAGAACATCTTGGCAACAACTAGCTTTTCCTAAAGTGAGTTATGTTTAATGTTTTGAAATCTCCATTATGATCATATAAATGTGCTACACTTAGTGACAGGAGTGCACACAAAAATAGTGCTTGCATAGGGACACTGGTCTGACTCCTCTACCATGTCCCTGAGCCACAAAGAAAAGGCATTAACAGACTCTTTCAACCAGTTATGAATCTCCTAAAAACTATTTCCAGCCAGTCATAAAAAGGCATTTTGTGTTGAAAATTGTGATAGAAAATCAACAATTTAAAGTTAGAAAACAGGCCAAGGAGAACTCCTAATAACCCTCAAAGAAACCTTTATAAACATGTCCAGGAACAGAGTATGTTTATTAATGGAATACTCACTTAACACACACACACAGATGTAATACTGAAGCAATGGCAAAGTTTCCCTGCATCATCTTCCTCACCATTAAGCGTAGAACCAGAGGTGGGCACAGGGACACACACCTACAAGCTCAGCACTTAAGGAGTCTGAGGCAGCAGAACCTCAAATTCAAAGCCAGTCTAAACTTCAAAGTAAGTTAAAGGCCAACCCAGACTACATAACAAAACTCTGTCCCCAAAACCCTCTCTGACTTTGTCTCAGTATCAGGAGTATATAACTTAATACAAGCTTTCAGATAGTGGCATCACCTGAAAACTCTGCACTATGCCAGGAGTGAGCTTCCAGCCCCTTACAGTCAGCATGAGCAGTGAATAGTTTTAAAACAAGTTGGAATTGTTCCCAAATGTCATAGCAAAAGGAAAAATAACTAACATTTTCAGGATAAGATGGTATGAAAATATGTAAAATGCTTAATATTAATTCAGGATTTGCTAAATGTTTAACTGGAAAACTATTACTAAAAGAAAGTTGTGATAAAATTAAATGCATTTTCTCCTACCTTCCATTCATACTCCACATACATAAAATTTACACTAGGCTTTGCCAAAAACCTGTATCTCCTTCCTGCAACAAAATTCAAATTATCTCAAAAATTAAGGCTTCTCTACCTTCAGGCATATTTTAAGAAGGTTTAAGTTCATAATAATTCACTATTACAAGTCAAAGAAAAAAGCAATAGATAAAACTTTATCACATAATCAAGGTAAATGTAAAAAAATAAATTTTAGAGTCTGAGCAATTGGCCTTCCTAAGCCAATTATTTTAAAACTATTAGTCTAACCAGAAGAATAATTAAGAGGGAATTTGTTTGATTTCTGGTAGCCCTGGCCATCCTGGAATTTATTCTGTAGACCAGGCTGGCCTCAAACTCACAGAGATGATCTACCTGCCTCTGCTTCTCCAATGTTGGGAATAAAGGTATATGCTAATGGCACCTGGCTAAAGAAGTATTTTAAATAGTTTGGCTAGACTGAGTATACATCCTTCTTCAATGGAGAAGAAAAAAGGAAAGTTTACTAAATAAAAATCAACAGACTAGCTTTGATATTATGAACATTAGATAGTATATAGAACAAAATGCAGTTTGGGGGCAGGTATAATGGTACACAGAGGCACAAGTATCTCTATGAGTTCAAGGCTAGCCTGGTCTATGTTATGGCAACACCATGAGAGAGACAGACAGACAGACACACAGACACAAACAAACACACACACACACACACACACACACACACACACACTACAGAGTTTAGGTAAAGACTTTAGATCAGATAATTTGGTATTACCACTAAGCAAAATGAAAGTGAGCATTAATTAAAAGGAATAGTATTTGGTAATGCCTTTTCTCTGTTGAAAATGACTATTTTTGTGACTGACATAAATGTACAGTGAATCTCACCAAGACACAAATTCAAGGTAACTTCTCAGAGGTTACATGGTTCATTCAACTACAATTTTACCATGAAATATATAGCTCATTCCTTTTATTATGAACCACTGACTTTTAAAGAATAGTTTGCCTCTTTTCTAGAAAGAAGCTATAGAAATAAAAATAAAAAAGCAAGTTCAACAAAACTGCCAGCCTACTTGGTATAAGAACTTACAATCTGAAACAGATTAAGTAATTTAACTCATTCATGCTGCATAGCAAAAAGAATTCATATAAATTCTTCTGTAGACCAGGCTGGCCTCAAACTCAGAAATCCACCTGCCTCTGCCTCCCAAGTGCGGAGATTAAAGGCGTGTGCCACCACTGCCTGGCTTTCATATAAATTCTTGAAGCAAGGATGGTACCACAAATCTGTATTCAACTACTCAAGAAGACAGGGAAGAGAGGAGGACGATGGGAAGCTCACAGCCACCTGGAACAGAGTAATTTCAAGACCTGAGTCTGCATAGTCAAGCGGGCTGGGGGACAGCTGCAGGGCAGAGCAATTGCTTAGCATATTCAGGCAATAGGTTTAATCACCAGTACTAGGGGAATTTTTTTAAAGAATAATAAGCATCATTTCAGTGGGCCTTTTGTTCTGAGCCTTTTTCAAGTTATGTAAACTTTTTAAAAGACAAATCTTCAAAGATACAAAAGAACTAAAATCCAAAATCCAAAAGAGAACTTGATCCAAAACCATACAATTCATGAGGTTGTCCTCCATTCCTTAGCCTTCATGGCTGCAGAGGGATGTACTGGTCTTAAAAGGCACTATGTGGCACATCAAAGGCTTAAAAGCTGCATTCCTGTTTTCCTTTTAGCCCCCACCCCCACCCCTTAAAGTGCAAAAAGCAGAGAATAGAGAAAAGAGTAGCCTTGAGTCTGTAACAGCAAGAAAAAGAACTGCTTCCACAACAAGTGGAATTGGAAACCATAGCAGAGGTCAGTTCATTTATTACAGTGCCATCTCAGATCTCCCAGGATGGTCTCAGATCTGCCATTCCTCTGGAAATGGACCCGTGATGATGGCATTGGCAGAGATCCAGAAGCTGACTGGGCTCTTGTTGGATCTTCTCATTAAGATGCTATTGCGACTTTTTATCAGCAGATGGTCTCCCAACGACAGCATCCCTTACTGCAGCCTGAGTAGAATTACCAATATGAGAAGAAGCCTGCAAAAGTCCATTTAGTCAATATATTAGTTAATAAATTACAATATGACATGAAAAAACTAAGTCCTGGGAGATAACTTCCAAATATCTTTCCTCATAAGCAGCATGCTGAAAAGGCAGAGGGACTGAGACAACTGTAGTGAGAGGAAACCATGATGCCAGCTGACTCCTAAGTGTCACCTGAGCATCTGTTCCTCTGCTGAAGAGGTAGAGGCTTCCCTGTTCATACTGTTGACCTAACTAATCTATTTATGTCACAAAAAAGAAACAAACTAGTCCTAAAAACATACAAAATGACCAATTGTAGTGGTACAGACCTACAGTCTCAGCATTCAGGAGGCTAAGGCAGAAAGATTATGAATGTCCTAGGCCAACCTAGACTACAAAAAGACCTTGTCTCAAAAAAATGAAGCAGGAGCTCATCCAGGTGTAGCAGATACTATGTAGCTATACCTACAGCATTTGTAGCACTTCAAAGCTATTAGAGACAGCAGAATCAGGAGTTCCAGAGTTCAAGCTCATCCTCTTCTATATATGAAATCTGAAACCAGCCTGGGCAACATGAGACTATTGCAAACAAACAAAAATGGGCTAATAAGATAGCTCATTGGGTAAACACTGCTGCTCAACTCTAATGATGTAAGCTCAATCCACAGAACCCACCTAAAGGTTAAAAAAAACTCTGACTTCCATATCCTGTGATCTGGGTCCCATACATCCACATTAACGTATCATATACAACCCAACACACACAATAGTAACAAATTTAAATAAACTTTGAAAATAAAAAACCCTACAGATCATGACAATCTCAAAAAACATTTGCTTTTTGAAGATATAAATAAAGGTATGTATGAAAATGCCATAAACAAACCCATTATTTTGTATGTTAACCAAATAATTAATTAAAAAATATATACATAAAAATTTGATAAATGAAGGCAATGTCATACATTTTCTACCCCCAAAAGATTTAAAATGCAACAGTGTTAAGTTCCTATTTTATCAGTGAATCAAATTCATCAGAACATGAGAGAATCATACAGGAATAGGATCTGAAGTGCTCATAATTAGAGCTGCCCCAGGCCCTCTGTAACTCCAGTTCCAGGGGATCCACCTCTTCTTGCCTCTGCAGGCACTCTACACAAATTGTACACAGACATATATGCAGACAAAGCACTTGTACACATTAAAAGTAAAACTGACCCAGGAAAAGGACAATAGATCAAAGACCCCCTTTTGCATTAAAGAGCCATTTTCAGGCGTTAAAACAAGACATCAGGATTAAATATCTATATACTAAAAAAGAATAAAATGTTAAGCCCATCAGAAAGTGGGCGTACCCTCTTTTTCACTATGAAATTCCTTCAAATTTTACTACAGAAGCACGATCACCACAGACTCTCAGGCTCAGCTAGCACCACTCACCTGCTCTAACACATATGCTGCACCGGAGTCAATAGCTCCTCCCAGCTCACGATACTGCCCGGAATATCTGATGTAGCCCCAGGTAAGGAGTGCTATTAACAGCAGTCCAACCATACAGTTGAACAGCTGGGCCACAACCTCAAGCCCAATGAAGCCAGTGATGCCCGAGGCTATGTACAATGCTGCGATGCCTGTGAACAGAACTGCAGGGGTTCGGAAGGTACTGAAGACATTCTTGCTGCCATTGTGCTTGCAGAAGTTCTCATACAGTTCTTTGATTTCCTCCTCCAGCTCCTGCTGGTAACGGAAGCTGAAATCCTTCCCACCCATCTTTTTGGTCTTCTTAAAGTGGTCCAGAGCAAGTTGTTTGGATTCTTGGTGCTTCTCTTCTAAAATGTCTGGAGACAAATAAGGTTTCTCTCCCCCACAAATCTAAAAATGACAAAAACACATGCTGAAAATTCTTGTACATGCCAAATAAAATATGTAAAAAGACACAGTAAAGATTAGAATGCTCTTAAGAGTTTAGAAAAAGGCTTAGAAATTAATTTCAGAAAATATTCAAAGGAGACTAAGGATATAACCTACATTTTAGAGAATTTGCCTGGTACACACAGAGCCCTCGGTTTAATCCCAACACCGTTAAAGTCAGTACGGTGGTACACATCTGTAATCCCACCCTCAGCAACATGAAAAGTCTGAAGCCCACCTAAGCTCCATGAGATTCTGCTTTAATGAGAAGCCAGAAAAGACAAATCTCCAAGGCCAAAGTCATATTGGCATATACCTATAATCTCAGCACTTAAGAAGCAGAGGCAAGAGATTCATACATAAAACATAACAACTTTTAGGCCAACCACAGCTACATAGCAAGCCTTTGTATAAAAATATAAAAATTAATTAAAAGCTTGGTTAGAAATGGTTAATAACCAGACACTGGGAGGCTGGAGAGATGGCTTAGTAGCTAAGAACACTTGCTGCTCTTGCAGGACCAGAGTTCAGTTCCCAGCACCCCCAACATGAAGCTCAAAACCTCCTACAACTAGGGCTCCAAGAGATCAAATGTCTGACTCTGATGTACTCGGAGGACCCTATGCCCTCTTCTGGCCTCCATGAACACCCACATCTATGTGGCATACATATACAAAGATTAATAAGTGAAAACAAACTTAAGGCACATTCCTGTGCTACAGCATTAGTGAGGTATAGGCAGTGCAATCGGACACTCTCCACTAACACAGTGATTCTCAGGCTAGCCTATTACATAAAACCCTGTCTCAAACAACAAACAAAAAGGATACGTTGAGAAGGATCAAGTTTGGGCCTTTGAAGTCAGTGGCCATATGCTTAGGAAATGACACTTTGGAACAAGGTGTTACTCACATACCTCTTCCATGTTGTTGTAATAAATATCTTTGGCAGAGGCTGCAGCTGCCAAATTGTTGGCTTCAGCAGTGGCCTTTTAAGAAAGGAAAGTGTGAAATACTTCTTGTAACATTTTCCAAGAAACAAAACAAAAATATCTCTCTTCCTATTCCCATTTTTCCTTTATTAGCCTTCTGTTATTTTTTTTATATTTTCATATAATTCAACACATAAAACACATACTTTCGCCATTTTTTGTGCCAAAACATCTATTCTGACACTTAAGAATCTTTAGCATAAACCAAACCTCTAAAACTGAAGAAACTATAATTTCCTTTAGTTTTAAACTTAACAAGTGCATACCCTGGGCTTGAGACAAAGCTCAGTGGTCAGTGGCAGAGCTCTTACCTAACCTATAAGGCCTGGGCTCAATCCCAGTGCCAAAAAAAAAAAAAAAAAAAAAAAAAGGGGAAAAAAGAAAAAAATAAAGGTTTAAAGGAAGGGAGGGAGGGAGGGAAGGAGGGAAGAGGAGGGAGGTAGAAGATGGAAGAGAAAGAGGAGAATAGGAAGAAGAAGGTAGAAGGCAGAGGAGGAGGAGAGGAAGAGAAAGAAAAGGAGGAAGAAAACTTTCATTATACTACAAGGTCCAATGCAGAGGGTACATACACTTGCTGTAAAATGCTTTTAATAGTCAAGGTAAGGCTATTAAAGAAAAGGAGAGTAGCCTTGCTCTCTTCTTCAGGATTCAGTTGTGTCATATTTGGGTCAATTCCAGCAAATGAAAAACGTCACTTAGAATACCAATGACTTGGGTTGGAGAAATGGATCAGTGGTTAACAGCACTGACTGTTCTTCTAGAGGTTTTGAGTTCAATTCCCAACAACTACATGGTGACTCACAACCATCTATAATATGATATGATGCCCTCTTCTGGTATGTCTGAAGATAGCTACAGTGTACTCATATACATAATAAATTAATAAATCTTTTTTTTTTTTTTTTTTTTTTTTTGGTTTTTCAAGACAGGGTTTCTTTGTGTAGCCCTAGCTGTCCTGGAACTCATCCTATAGACCAGGCTGGCCTCGCACCCAGAAATCCGCCTTCCAAGTGCTGGGATTAAAGGTGTGCACCACTACTGTCTGGCCAAATTAATAAATCTTTTTTTTTAAAAAAAAAAAAGAATATCAAAGACTTTATTACCTGAAGCATGGATTTTGGGTGAGGCAGATCTTCTCCTTGGTAAATTTTAATATATGCCTTAAAACATAAACATAGAAACTATCACAAAAATATAACTGTAAAATATTTTGTTCATATTTTAAAATAGTGAGACCACACAAATGCATTTTCCTAAAATCCTAAATCAACAACCAAGAATTAGCAGAAGCACAACACACCTCTGAGCGCATGTTAGCATTTTTAGTTATCTATAAATATTCTCAAACAGCACAAGTCTACCAAGGCCAGGATTCCACTCAGGACCCCATGCACAACGGCCTCACCACGACCTGTGGGTGGAGACCGTCCACCTGGAGATAGCTGCGTCCCATTTATGTGCGTCTCCTACTCACAGCAACCTCCTAACCACCTCCTGCCACATCATCTTCCTTGAAGGCACAGTAATGACTACTCTAAGAGAGTGCAAAAAATATCACTTGGTTCTTATGCCAATACTGCCACCCAGTGGCCCGCTTCTGTAAGGGCACTAAGGTCATAAAATGCCTCTAACCATTTCCCCCAGAAAATTACTAATATTAAAATCAATTTTACAAAAAGCAAATTAGAACTAAAATTTATATTTACCTTAAAATATTCCAACAGTCCCCGGCAGGTGACTTTTGAACCATTGATCTCCTTCTCCATTAATTTAGATGGATTTAGTACATACGGTATTAGAGCCTGTAACTGCTCTTTGAATTCACTAGCAATATCTATATACAGGATCATAAAGAAAGACACAAGAAGCCAAAATGAGCACAAAACCCTCTTACAGAAAGAGGGCTAAGACTATGCTTGCTATCTTCTGGCTGTGGTCAGGCCGCCGATAGACTGCTATCCTAACGCACTTACATTTGTGACCTTCCTTCCTGTCACATTTAAGTCCTTTCCAGTTCAGAGCAGAATATACAGAATATCCTTATCTTGGTTTCAATTCTGGGACTTTGGTATATTCTCTTGCTTTTTAAGAAATTACATGGTTTAGTTTGGCTTGGCTTTAGGGACAGAATCCTAACTACCCATGGCAGGCTTCAAATTTGCAATCCTCTTGCTTTTGCCTTCCAAGTCAGTATCACTTTTAAAAGAACTAAAGAATGTGTTCAAAAACAAAATAACCTCTTCACTTGCCTCATGCCTTTGCTGCACCCATACACTGTCCCTTAAAACAAACAGGAAGCCACTATTCATTCGTGTGCCTTATTTTTGCTAATATTTTGTCTTAAAGGAGAAAGCTCTTGCCTGGCACTGTGACTCACACCCATCATCCCAGCAGGAGGACCTGACAGAGGGTCAAGGAGCTCAAGGTCAGCCTGGGCTACATAGTGAATTTGAGACTAACCTGGGGTGCATTCATTCTGTCTCAAAAAAACAATGATAGTAATACTTGAGTAGAAGCATTTGTACCTCCTGTTATTTGCTTCTAAGTATCTTCTCAGTGGCTCCCAGGCCACCTCAAGATAAAAAGACCATTATATCAGGAAAGTAATGTACTCTTTGCAGTTTGCACAAAGTTCTCAAAGCAGAATAAGGGGACTCATCAAGTAGAGGCGCCCTTTCTTCAAAGTACAAATAAACAAATCCAACTATGAACATGCAGGAGAATTGAATTACAAGAAATAAGATTTATACAAATTTTCTAATGTCTTTAATGAGTTTCCAACTGCCAAATGAAAATAAAATTTTGCCAATATCAAGATAGAAAAACTCTTCGGCACTCCACAAACCTAATTATAATATAAAAAAATGAACCTATTAAGTTTTAAGAAATAAAAAAGTAGGACAAATTATTAATCTCATACTTGAGGTTGGAGACGGCTTAGCAGTTAAAGCACTTGTCATTCTTCCAAAAGAGACGTGTTAGATTCTCAGAACCCACATGGTGACTCACAATGGTCTGTAACTCTAGTTCCACAGGCTTTAACCCCCTCTTCTAGCCTCTGCAGGCACTACATTCATACAGAGTATAGACATATGTGCAAACAAAACACCCATACACATAAAATAAAAAATAAGTTAAAATGTAAAAAACTGTATCTTAAATCCTTTTATACTGAATCTTTCATACTGAAAAAAGTACAAAGTGGTAGACACACTATACTGTTCTACAGTATGCTTATGTGTGTTAAACTATAGAACCTTACAAAATAGAATTTCATTGAATATCTTTTAATCCTTTGAGAATTTTTAAATGTGTGCATGTGTGCATGCATATGTATATGTGCCACAGAGTGTGTATGAAAGTCAGAGGACAACTTGTGGTAGTCACTCTATTTCTACTATGTGAGTCTAAGGAACTGACTTCTGTGCAACTGCCTTTATTCACTAAGCCACTGGCTTTTCGAAACAGGGTTTCTCTGTGCAGTCAGAGGACTGTCCTGGAATTTCCGTTGTAGACCAGGCTGTCCTCTAACTCACAGAAACCTGCCTGTCTCTGCCTGAGGTTTACAGACCTCAGACTGCTCATGTCTCTACGAAGGCTATTCCAGAACAACAGCTTTTAAATCATAGAAGTGTCTCGTGACAAACAAGCCCAGTTTCTCACGATATAAAAGAAGACTAAGCCCTGGTGTTTGGTTACAGAAATACTTAAATAGCTGCTTTAGCGATCTTCCTGCTCCAGTGAAATTTTTTTATGCTGACGACACAGCATCCTGTTTCTGTGGAAACAAAGCCTCAAAAAAGCAATTGATCCTCTATCTGCAAGAAGCAGCTCAGCTTCTATGACATTGAAACTAAGTTCATGTTTGACCAGAGATTGAACTGCACTCATCAGGCCTGGCAACAGGAACCTTTATCTGCTGAGCTATCCCCACAACAGTTCTACTTACAAATGTATCACAATAAAGTTAATCACATGTGGTGCCAGCCATATATGGTGACACACACCTACAATACAAGGACTTGGGAGGCTGAGGCCATCCCAGGCTACCTAAAAAGTTAGAGGCCAGGTGAGCTCTATGTATCAAGACCCTGTCTCCAAAATTTTTAAAAACCTGTGTTCCTCTCAAGCTACTCTTAGTCAAATATTTATAAGTCAACTACTTTTTTCAACTTAGAATTTATTCTTCACTGAAACTCAATAAAGTCATGTCTGGAGGCATGCTGAAAATCCCAACATTTGAGAGGCTGAGGCAGAAGGACTGAGTTCAACGTCAGTATGGGCTATTATAATGAGTTATAGGTCATTCTAGGACACAGCAAGACACTGGCTCCAAAAAGAAGCAGGTACAATATGCCTCAGTGGGTAAAAGAGGCTTGGCTATGCAAGTCTACTGACCTGGATCCCACCAAAGTGTAAGACAATCACCTCCACAAACTTGTCCTCTGACTTCGACTAACAAGTAGTAGCATGCCCATAAACAATAAATAAATAAATAAATAAATAAATCCTTCAACCTTAAAAGCTTCTCTAAAATTATAAAAATATCCATAAATCTAAAAGTAGAGTCATGTATCACTTTAGCAACAGAGATTGTCTGAGAACTGTGTCATCAGGTAAGTTCCTCACTGTGCTAACACTGTCTAGTGCATAAGTACAATCTACACAGGGCAGACTATGACACATATGGGCTCTATTATCTCTGGGGCCATTTGCACAAAAGCCATTGTTGAGTGAAAAGTTATACCTAACTATACTATAGCTCCTTAAACATACATAAATTTAGAAATTGCGGTAAAAAGAAAAATTATACTTTTAAGTGTTTTCGTTTTTTCAAGTACTTGTAAACTAGGCACGGTGACACTAATCTGTAATCCTAGCATTGGGATGAACAAAACAGAAGACCAGGTTCAAGGCTAGGCTGTGGTAGATAGCCAGTTTGAGGCTAGCAAAGAGCTACTATGCAAGCAAGACTATATCTCAAACAATACATTACAATTTATATCTTTTTGATCAGATTTCATATGCTATTCTTCAATCTAACATTAAATAATTATTTCCATAACTTATTTTTTATTCAACATTTAATAATTTACCCCTGACTTCTCTGTATATGCATACACAGACATCCAAATATCTACCTAATTCTTTTTTTAAAGATTACTCATATACATAAATTTTTTAAAAATATATTTATTATGTTATGTATATGAGTACATTGTCACTCTCTTCAGACACACCAGAAGAGAGCATCAGAACCCATTACAGATGGTTGTGAGCCACCATGTGGTTGATGGGAATTGAACACAGGACCTCTGGAAGAACACTCTCTCCAGTCCCTTCCCAGTTCTTTTTAGTAATTCCTTTTTTTTAATTTTTGAGACAAGGACTCCCTTGATAGCCCAGGTTAGCCTAAAGTTTGATAATCCTTCCTCTGCCTTCCTGTTGCTGGGACTACAGGTACGTTCCACCAAACACCTGGCTAAAGACTGAACTTTAATATTGTGTTTACCATTATCATAAATCAACCAAATCCTTATAAGTACACATTTGGTTTGAAGTTATCCCTTATTATAATATATATATATTTATATTATATATATTTATATATTTGTATATTATATAATTTCTATATAATTATATATATTACATATAATAAATACATGTATGTATAATAAAATATATATTATATATAATATAAAATATCAAATATATATCCTTGAATACAATTTTTATTCATTTATTTGGCCAGTTCCTTGGGATAAACTCCTAAAAACAGAACACTAGATCCAAGAACAAAGCACTTAAAAATGATACTACCATAATACTATGCATAAAAACTGTAACATCGTCAGGTAGTAGTGACACACACCTTTAATCCCAGCATTCAGGAGGCAGAGGTATGTGGTTCTCTATGAGTCTGACACCTGCCTGGTCTACAGAATGAATTCCAGGACACCCAGGGTTCCACAGGGAAATGCTGTCTTGAAAAACCAAAAGCCAAAACCGAAACAAAACAAAAAACAAAAAACTGATAACACACTAATATATTTGTGCTTTTCTGATTGTTATGATGGTTTATATATTTTCAATAATTTGGGTTTTGGAGTTTGGAGATTAGGTTCTAAGTTTGGGTTTGAACTTGAGTTTGATGTTTTTTGTTTTTCCTCAATGCTGAAGATCACACTTGGAACTTCGTATATGTTAGGGAAGCCTCTATAATTGAGCTACATATCCCTAGTCCTTTCTGGACTTGCCTTTTCATATATAAAAAAAAGCATGAGTTCACAGCCAATGAATTCCAGAGGCCAGCTAAGACTATAAAGCAATGCTCTGTTTAAAAAATAATTAATTAAAAAATATATATTGTTCTATCTATTAAATATCTATTGAATGAGGGAAGCAAATTCTTCCTAGTTATGAGACTAGAGGAAATTGCTTATCCTAAATTTCCTCCCTGTCTTATAAACATAAACAACATACTTACCATTTAGTTACTAAACCATCAGCAAACTGTACGGATAGTGGAGTAAATACTGCTGCCTCCCCAAACATACATTCAACTTAACCTCAGAATGTGACCTTACTTGGAAGGTGCCCCAACAAATTTGATTCACTAAACAGGAGGATTTATAATCACTGAGGAAGTCTTAAATCCAGAATGATGGGCTAGTAGGAAAAAGAATATAAGGAAGACACCCATGTGACAACACAAAAACAGCCAATGAATACCAAGGATTGCCATCACTTCCCAGGGATCAGGAGAGAGGCATGGCATAGGCTCTCCTCAGAGCTCCAGGAGGAAACCACCACTACTTCAAACTTCTGGCCTCCTGAACTGTAAAGGAATAAATCTCTAGTGTCTTAAGCTGCTCAGCTTGTAGTAACTCACTAAAGGTAACCACAGAAATGCAAACATGTGTCCCAGTAACATACAGCTTCAGGTCACACTCACACAATCTTTAAAATCTGCCTACTTTCTAAATAAAAATGCTAAAATAAACTGAGTTTCAAAATAGAAGGCTTTGAAATATCAAAACGCCTTAAGATAGAAAATACTGACATTTTTCTATGCTTATACCTAGTAACCTGAGCTCCCCATGAGACAAAAGGATGACATGAAAAGTCACTGACCCATCCCCCTAAGCTCACCTATTGAAAAATATCGAAGCTGGGAGTAGTGGAACATGTCTGTAATCCCAACATATAGAAAGTTAAAACAGGAGAACTCCAAATTCAAAGCCATCCTGGTCTACATATCAACTCCCAGGTAAGCAAGGGCTAAACAGCAAGACCTTAACTCAAAACAAGCAAATCTCCAACACTTTAGATTTGGTAAAAATACAGTTAAAATAAAGTGTCATAACCCTGAAAGAACATTACCAGCCAGGCACAGTGGTGAATAAATACCTTAATCCCAGCAGTCAGGAAGTAAAGGCAGGAAGATAAGTTCAAAGTAACCCTTGGCTACCAAGCGAGTTTGAGGCCAGCCTGGGCTACAGAGATCCTACCCCTCCACACACACACACACAAAAAAAGAAAGAAAGAAAGAAAGAAAGAAAGAAAGAAAGAAAGAAAGAAAGAAAC